GGCGGGCGCGGCGCCCGGGCCGCGGGGCGGGAGCACGCGAGCACCGGGCCGGGACAGCGTGCACCTGCCGGAGCCTGTGGGCGACACAGAGCCTCTGTGGCCGCGGGGGCGGCAGCTGCGCTCCCCCTTCGCGGACACAGCGCGCGGAGACCGGCCACCCCCGGAGCCTGGGTGAAATTGCCACGCCGGGCCCAAGGTAGCCGGAGCTGTCCCCGCCCCGGAGGCCGCGTCGGGCGTCCATCTAGTGAAGGGGCCGGCGCGACCCACGCGTGGCTCCCTTTCACGCGCAGGCTCCTGCGAGGGGACACCCGGGTCAGCTGGGCGTGCAGGGGCGCCGCAGGCTCGGGATCTGAAGGAGACGCTGGCCCGCGCCGGTGGGGGCGCTACCAGTGTGGCCCCGGGCGTCGCCGCCCCCGACCCGCTCCGGAACTCTGTGAATGGCACAGAAAGTTTAGAAAAGCATCATTTTGTTCCCACCCCGAGAGTTATCAGATCGCACCCAGGGCATTCTCTCTGCGCGCTGAAATGCCCTCTGCAGAACGCGCTGTTCCCACGCTCCCACCGAATCCGTTTCTTTTCCACCCGGTAATAGTTTCACTCATATTGCCACTGTCGCATCCACTTTTCTTCTCCCTGCCCCCGTCACGAAACAAAAAAACATCTTTCTCTGTTTTCAGGCTTAGAGGTGCACATGTCCGGGAACAACAAAAATATAATTATTTCGTGGAAAACCAGTGATTTGCCTAGCTTAGCTCGGATTGACTTGCTCCGCTAATTACAGGACGCGTTGTGGTGAGGAAAGGGAAGGGAAGGGAAGGAAGTGCTATTCTTCTGGACCTAAAAGAGCTTGATCTTCCAGCGCCAACGTCCTCAGAAAGCGCAGCCTTCTTCCAAGGGCTTCTTAGATTCACTGGGTGCAACCGTATTGTCCCAGCATCTAATCACCAGAAACTGAAAGGAACATCAAAGTAGAGTAGTTGTCCCTCAAGTAACTGAAACAATGTTCCCTACGATATTTAAGAAATAAAATCTTTCTCTTCTAATTTTTTTAATGTGTCGAAGTATGGCTCCTACTATTAAACACCCGGCAGTTCAACATTCAAAGCAGATCCCCCCCCCCCAAAGTTCTAGCAGGGAATCCATGAGATGTCAGCAGAGGGTACAAGAAAAGAAAGAAAGAAAGAAAGAAATCTTCCACCTAAGTAAAAGCAAATAAGGAACAGCCCTGTTCTGACCTTGAAAGTAATGCAGGGACAAATGTAAGATAAAGCAAGAGAAGGATTCTAGGTGATGACACAGAACACTTCAGTTAATATTTTGCAAAGCATTAGTGTTTCCAAGGGGCAACAAAATTTAATGTAAGAATACGTTACCTTCTTTAAAAGAATCAATGAGCCATCCAAAAATCTGTCCCACATTCTCTGCTGCTCACTGGAAATTTTCATGAAAGGTACGTGTTTGACATTTCCTTGTGAGAAAGCAAATGACATGTACTTTTAAAAAAATGCATGTCTCTACATGGAAAAGCTTTGTGCAACACACTTGTATTTTTGTTAATCATCATTAAGAAAAATATAGATACAGACATTTTTGTGCCCACTTTCTCAGTGAAGAGCTATAGATGCAGAAGTGTTTAAAAACAAACAGACTTATCCAAGTTGACAAATCAAATAAGGGCCCAGAAGGAAACCAAGCCCAGGCCTATCTATGCAAACACTGATTTTTATCCCTCCCTCCACCCTATGACACTAGTTGACCAAAAACAGCAAGTTATTTCCTCAGATGATTTTAAATAGAATAGTGGACAGCCTTATAGAGATGTCCACAAAAGCCACAGCAGAATAAAGTTTTATTTAGAGTAAGCAAACCAGGCCAGTGCTACAAGTTTACGAAATAAGAGTAAGGCAAGGGCACATTAAGACAATTTCTAGGAGTTTGAGTCACCTAGTGCTTTTAAGAATGATTGTGCACCACAAACAAGAAGATGAATGACAAATCGATATTCCTGGGACTTTACTGCCCATAGTAGCTGCAGAAATAACAGACTCTAGTGTCGCTTTCATTTTATAAATCTGTACTTTTGTAGTTAGTCATCAACTATTTACATTTGGAAAAATGGTTTTTTATTCTTATAAATGGAAAATGGAGGACTTAATTAAAAAACACTCTTTCATAACTAGTGCACTGTGTTGTACAGCTGAAACTAATTTTAAAAAATGTTTATTTCACAATAATAAAAAAAATACTTCATCTTTTCCTGAAAGCAAATAAGAAGGAGAGTTAAATTACACCTCCATGCTGACACAGACTGTGCTGAGCCATTTCTTCAAAGGGCCCTTCAGCTGGAAGCTCAACCCCAGAAAGTGGTAAAACACCACCCATTACTGTACCCGTGGAATGACTGAAGGTGAGATAACATCTGTCAAGTTAAAATCCTTTAGTGGTTTCTCAGTGCCATTGGGGAAGACTAAAATCCTACAATGACTTACCTGCATTGACCTCTGCGTCTCCCTCAAGCTACCTCACTCCTTTCCCCATCCCCTCAATGTTCTATGAACTCTGGCCAGTGGTACGTTCCCTCTCACCTCAGGTCCTTTGCACATTCTGTTCCCTGTGCAGAGGAACCTGTTCTCTTCTCTGCCCTTTACCCGAATAACTCCTTCCTCTTAGGGTCTCAGCTCAAGTGTAACTGACTCAAGGAAGTCTAACATGGCCCCTGCCTTTCTGGACTAATCAGAGTCCCCTTTTATGCCCTTTGATGTCTCCCCGTAACTTTCCCTCTTAGCACTTTATCATTTTACTTTTCTCCCACTAGACTGAAAGCTCCATGAAGGTAAGGACGAACGATATATTTGATTCACTGGTTTATCCTTAGCTCTTAGCATAGTGCCTAGAACACAGGAAGTACCCACTAAGAATGTGTTGGATGAATAAATGTGTGATCTGACCAGAAATTCACAGCTGTCCTGCCTTGGAGATATGGGCTGCAGGCCTTTCTCAAGGTTGCACCAGCTATAGGATTAATATGAATGGTTCCACAGTAAATGTTTCCCTCCAATGATGCTGGTTCATATTCTGGGATCTCCCTTTTTATCCTTCCTACCCAAATGATGTGAAAATCCAATCACATGACAGGATTTCTAAATATTTTCATGCATAATAATTACCTGATTTGAGATTGGCCTTCTCATAGTAGCATAGAAGAGTTGCCTAGGAATTAGGAAGCCTCTCAGAGAAACTGGCAAAACTTTTTTTCTGCCCTTTGATCTAAAGTGGTCTATTTGAATATGAATGCATTTAATGATATCGTGTAACAGGAATAATCATAGTCATGGAGCAGAACCTTATCTCTGGCATAAAAAAAGAAAAATCATAGGATTTTGGAATTTAGCTTACGAGAATGTGTACATTAAAAAATAAAAAAGTGAGCTGTGCTAGGAGATTAGGATCATCACCTGGGGCAAGGCTGGTCTTAAATCTACCCCCACGCAGCTCAGATCCTGCCCTGGAAGGAAGGGTCTGGAGGACCCGGGATTTAACGTTGTGTCTCTTGCCTCACAGAGCTTGGAGCTTAAGTAAGTTGTTGAATGTGGCTCCCCAGGACCTTCTGTGTGATAGATCATGCAGAGATCTGCTAAGGTTTAGTGTATTATCCCAGTTTTTCAGGTGTAGAGGAAGGCCGACAGGCAAGGAAGGCACTTGTTCTTAAGTGGCAGTGCCCCCTTGCACCACAGCGGGGCGCCAGCGCTCTCTCCACAGGTCGGCAGCCCCGTCAGTACCCTGTCCAGGCTGGGCGCCGGATCAGCAGACAGCAACAGAAATGGCTCCATAGTTAGGTACCAACATATGATAGTCCCCAGAGGACTTAGTAGTAGTTAAGTAATGCTTAGAGCTGATACTTTATTTTTTATACATTTTTATAATGTTCATGGCTTATCTCCTTCCTTCTTTGAAATCTGCATTGTACAACCACTAACCTTTAGTGCTGTAATGATATTTTAATGAAAAAAATCTTTGACTCTAAAAAGTCAGTATTGGTAGTACGGTTGACTTGATGATTTTGCTATTATAGTTGGAAGTTCTTAATGTCTAAACTAGCTTCATTTTTTTTTTTAAAAGACAGTCCTCAGCAAAAGCCTAGAGCCCTCTTCTTAGAGAGCACCACCATCAAGCAGTGGGATGAATGTTTTACTGTGTGTGGAATTACATGCTTTTCACTTTTTTTTTTTAGCCAGAGAGATTTGTTTCATTTCAACAGAGAAATGTTTTGCTATCTGAAAAGTTACTTTCTGCAAATTCTAGGTTATAAAAAACAGCAGTACTTTTAATATAGAAATCTTCAGTATATTTAAAATAAGATGCTGTCTTCAGATATTCAACCACTAAGTCTTTCAGAGCCTCAGTGTTCCTCCATAAAATAAGAGATTGGAATAAGAAACTCTACATTTTTTTTGTAAAAGGTTTTACAAATCTGGCATTTGAAAACAACACTGCTGTGTGAAAAGGACACACACCTCCAATGCTGTCTCACCCTCCTCAGTCACTGTGATGTCACGTGTGGGAGGAGATACTCCTTGTCCTTTAAAATCTGCCAGACTGTGTCTGAACTCTGATGTGCAATGCAGTCACAAAGCAAAGAGACAACTCATAGGAACATCTAAATATTATCCATTATTACATGTAAGGCACTCATTCATCGATTCAACAGATATTTATAGAGACTCTACAGTTGCTACAGGCACTGCATCTAAAAGTCTCTTTGTGCCTTTGGGAACTCAATAAATAACAGTACTTCTAGGGATTGTAGGGGAGGAAAAATAATCATCCCTCTGCCCTTTTG